GCAGAAAGCTCGATTCTTCTCTAATTTCTTATTTGATCTTTTCAAAACATCTGTAGCGAATAACAATGCATAATATAGTAAAATAGTATATATAACCTTTTTGTCTCCTTTCACTGCTTCACTATTTTGTTATTTATTGATTTCTTCCTTTTCTTGTTTAGTTTGGTACTCGATACATGAATATTTGACTAAAAGTGAAGCTTTAAAAGGAGACCAAAAAAAACCAAACGGAAAGAAAAGTAAAAAAGAATAAAAACAAAAGTATAAACTGCGAATGGTCATATGTTAGCACATGTCAAACCCAAGGATATCACCAAAATGACATACCGATCAAATACGTTACAATAAAATAATAGCCAATTTCTACTTTACACACCAGACACCAGAACCATAAGTACTAACTAATAACTGACCATCCTTTAAAACAGTTATATATGTAGGGTTCTTGATTTCATCCCAAGTACTTCCTACAAAACGACCATCCAATGTGAATTTTTGTACGCGGTTATTACCAAAATCACACACCAGTAGATGATGGTCATTATCAATAGCCAGGCCCCATGGTCCATTCAGCTGACCATCAGCACCGCCTTCACCACCAATCGTCGATATTCTAGTCGGTACGTTACCTTTCTTCTCAAATACATGAATAACGTGATTATTAATATCACTGACGTAAAACAGTCCATGATGTATTATCACATCAGTAAAAGTGAACCTGTCCTGTGTTGCCAAACCAACCTGATATTGATAGTCACCGTCTCTTGTGAAGACTTGAACACGACGATTATCACGATCACACACAATGATGTTACCATCGTCATCAACGTGTACTCCCATTGGGTGTACAAACTCTCCATATCCGTCACCATAGTTATCAAAGGTTTTTACCAATGTCCCTGTTGTAGTGTTCACTATACATATTCTATGATTACCACCGTCTGCTATGACTAAATCTGTATCATTCAGAAATGCTAAACCTTGAGGATAAGAAAGTTGTCCCTGTGCACTACCTTTACTACCATACGTCAGTAAGAGATCTCCATCAGTGGTGAATATATGAACACCTTCAGAAGAACCATTTGAAACAGCGATCCTGCTATTCTCTCTGTTTACTGCTATACCTCTTAAATTACGAGATCCTATATTTACACCTTTCACATTAAACTGTCCTGTTATTCTCATCTCTTGTGGCTTGACATTCACCACTAGTGGACTGTTAGATACATGAATCTCATTCACTTGAACCTCTGCTGTCAACTGACCAGCTACTTTAGCCATGAATTCAACTTCTACTTTACCATCAGTTCTCACATATTTCTTTTCTA